TCTATGATCAAACCATTTAGATTGTGTGTAGAGCACAGAAAATGCCATATTCAGGATGGCACTAAAAGTGCCATTTGTGTATTTTATGGATGTCATTACAGGGGAAACTTCTCTCTGTAGGCCCTGTTTACTGCAAAATTTTTTAGTCTGTAATGACATTTTTCATTCACAACGTATGCCTTCAAGAGAGGGGGCCCTTGTTTTATTTGTTTCATTTGAGTTTACTGCACAAATTCTGTACATTTTAATTAAATGTAAGCTTAACAAAAGCGTGCGGTATTTATTCTGGGGTGGTGGGTGGGTGGGGGACAGTAACCATAGAACAGCTCGTACACAATGGAAGGGTCAGGTACTCAGCAGCTCCATAGCTACCCAAAGCCTGACAGGGAGGGGGCAGGCCCTAGCATGGTTTGGGGAGGTGCTACCCTGCACAGCTTGCCTATCTGCCCCAGAGCGGTGTTGTTTCCATCTCTTGAGCCTTTCTCTTCCCGAAGGCTTGGCTGGTTCATTGCTGTGTTCTAGTGCAACAAGGCTTAACCCAAAATCACTTCCTTGAAAACAGGTCCTAAGTGTGTGTGTGGGGGGGGGGGCAAAGCCCACCTTTATTACCAGCTCAGTTGGTAACCCTTCCACACATTTAGACATGAGCAGCATCTCACAATAAAGGGGCTTCATAACCATGAACAGGGCTGCCTTTTAACTCCATTCCCAACTTCTGCACATGACTATGTTGCCCTATTGGAAACAAGTCCACGGACTAAGTATAGGCACTCTGATATTGTCATCCCTCTGAAATCCAACAATGTCTTTTAAATACAAGTACAGCACAAATGCTGGCCAGGTGTCCACAGGCCAGATCTGCACGCTCACTGGAGCAACAGCAGTAACTGGGCCATCCAGGGTGAAACCTGAACAGTGCCCTGTCCACCAATGCCACTCCGTGAGGCCGTTTGCACTGACAAGTTTCAGAGTCCATATTCACTAGAAAGAGCATGTGTGCCCAGTACATTCTTGATCATAACCCAGTTAGAATCTAAAGTTACAGTAGAGATTCACATTCGTTTAAATGACACTTGAACTTCTACATCGCTCCACATTAATTCATTATGGTTGAAATGGAAGAATCTTCAATGGGTGAATCTTTTTCAATCTGATTGAGGCTGTTACATTTTATAGGTGCTATTTTTCAAAGCAGTACTGACAGCACTCGAAGTTATTAAATTGCTGAATCAAAAGACGGACCTGCACTCACATTTATGAACTATGATGGACTAGCCGGGGGCCGTGCTACCAGAGGTTAAGATGTTGGTGGCATTAAACTTCATCACAGACCAAACTGACTGCAGTATTTACCACACAGTTTACTTTAATGGTCTGGAAGTAGCTTAACTCATTTCTGGATTCAAATGAACTGAACATGTAGTTCAGAATTCATAATTATCAATGCTGCAAGGGATTCAAAGGATTGTTCTGCATTTCCTTCAGTCGCCCAGTGAGGAGTGGGATTGCTGAGGCTCAGGCAAGTGACCTCTCTTGCCTCCTAAAAATAGGATGTTGTTTATTTCCCCCAACTTGGTTTCTCCTGATTTTTAATGTAATGGCAGTATTCCCTTCTTTTGTAATTATTGGGGCAGGGCAAGTTGAATGAAGCACTCTCTTTATGTCATTTCCTGTTTTTCCTCTGAATTACACTGTGTATGACCTTGAAATTAAAATGAGCAGAAACAAATAAAAATCACAGTTTAGGAAGGCAAGCAAAATACTGCATGCTGAGCTGAAAAGTTAGAGTTCAGTTATGAAGTTGCATGCATACCAGAAGAGAGCCTGACAGACCCAGGTGATAGGGCTGGAGGACCCAGTGGGTGACAGACAGACTGATGAGGAGCCAGGCCTACCCAAACCCAGGCACAGATGCAGTCAAGTGTGTGGTACTCCTCAGTGCTGGGTGTCTTCAGAGATGGAGTCAGTCTGACGTCTCAGAGAAGACACCTGAGAAAGGGTAAACTTGAAAGGACAGCATGTGGGCAGGTGGAGCCATGCAGACCTGATTGAGCTGTTTCTGGAGGATCCTGGGCTTTTGTCCTCTCACACTTACCAGCCAGACTCTTAGGTCCACAGAGCAAAACACTGGTCCAGGCAAACGAGAGCTGTTTCTTTTTTGAAAAGTAGAAAGATTAAGTGGCACCAGGAGCTCACAACCACAAGCAGGTTCCTAAGCGAGCCCTTCAGACTCCTGTAGGGAGGTACTCCACATCCCCAGGTAAAAACCTGGGACACCATCTTGGCCTGCAAGCCTGCAGCTACTATCCAAATATCTGCCAATTAAGGCACATCAGAAAGCAGCCTGACTTAGTGGTCCAGCTTGTGCTCCGTTCTCAATAGGGGAGTGAGTGAGAGAAGCAAGGATACACTTCAGGTTCAGCGGTCGTTGACATCCAGGACCAAGGGGAGAAGCTTAGTTGACTTAAGATACCGAGATCCCTCTCCCAGCGCTCCCTACTGCACCAGCCTGGACAACATCCCTGACACAGATCCTGTGGCTACCATTGAGCACAAAGAAGGAGCTTTTGGGAGTGGAGCTGGTCTAGTTGGTGCCTGTCTTTTCTTGAGCTAAGATTTCGTGACTTCCTAACCCTTCTAAGGCCCACAGCATAGAGAGTTTTCCAACAAAGACCAAAAATAACATTTAGCAGCTAGTGAATACTTCCAAATCCAGGACCACTGTCCGGTAGTCTGGGAATTAGCCTAGGCGTGTCCTCTTGGCAGACAGGACCAGCAGCTTCTGCCGTAAACCCAAATGCTATCCTTACCCAAAGGCCCTGTTGGGTGCTTGCACCCCGGGTTAGCCTGGTCTTGAAAGAAAAGCTTTCTTGTAGTGCATCACCAAGGCAGTTAGCAAAACTTCTGTCTTTAGGGCATGGCAGTCATAGCTAATGAGCTGCAAGTCTTAATCCCTCCCTCCCCCTTGGTAAGGATAAAGCACATAGTTTAAAAAAAAAAAAAACTGAACATGTCAATGAGAGTGTAAGATATGTCTCAAATGCGCTGCATTGACACAGGGAATGTGAACACAGATGTGAGTGGGTCATTTTCTTGTTTGGGAGGGGAGGGTGACAATAAAACAATTTTAAACTGATAGAAAAGCTAAGATTTAGAGAAAACAAGAACTCTACTTAGAATCATTCTCTACTTTATGAAAAGGAAGCCTACGGTTTCCATCATTTCTTACCCTGTTGAGTTGTGGACTTCTAGAGGAGGTCATGAAGGTATACAAGTGTGTGCCTCACATCCATCCTTGCTGTAGACCTCCAAGGACACCCACTCTCTCTGGCCTCATTTGCTCTCATCTGTGCTGCTGTTGCGAGATGGGCCCAAAGGTCTCTCTCTCCTAAGCCAGGCCAGTCCTGTCGGGGCGCAGACACCTTGACTTCCTGAGCAAGCAGCTCCCCCACGGACTTGTGGCCCTCAAAGGACAGGCTGACCTGAAAATAGAACGGCTGGGTGAGTGGCAGGGCAGAAGCCTGCACCTTCTGTGTCTGGCCTGTTGATAGCCTCAGACCAGCTTCGCCCCTGTACTTCCTTCCTGTCCCTTCCCCATCCACAAGACAGGGTCTTACTGTCTTCAGGGTCACGGTGTTCTCACTGAAAGGAATTTGAGGTTGACGAGGAAAAGCATACACTCTGTTGCCCCTGTGTCACAGTTCCTTCTTCTGTTTAAAAGCATTCAGCGGGTTTCTGCGCACAGACGCCAGCGGTGAGATGGCCGAGCATGCCGAGGAGCCTCTGCTCACATCCCCCTGGACCTCTCTCTGCCTTGCCCTCCGGGCATCTCCCTGTCCTCTACGGCCCAGGCCATTATTCTCTAGCAGCCTGAGTGTGTGGTTTCTGCATCTCTTCAGCCTTGCTTGTGCCCTTCCACAGTGTCTGAGCAGACACAGCTTTGATGATTGTGTATCTCCTTTAACACATGGGGGACCTGAACTGAACCGGGGGAATGAGCTGTTCACTGGGCTCCCAGAGCCTGCCTTTCAGGCCAACTCAGGGAGACCTTCTTCCCGACTCCAAGTGCCCAGGCCTTCTGTTAGTATTCCTGTGCCCCGGACCTGGCACAGTGCCCATGCTCTCAACAGAGCCACACTGGTCTGCCTCTCACTTTGGTTCAGTAAATATTTCTTGCTATGAACTCTTACAACTGCATTTACTAGTGACATTTTTTTAAATTTGATGTGTAAAGCTTTCATTATCCTTATTGATTAAACAAATACCTGTACTTGATATTTGGACCTTAAGAAAAGGTTTTCCTTTGGATTAAAAGATCCTACTGCTGGCTCCCAGCTGGCCCCCCTTACTGTCCTTGCTGTTGGAGGTGAGAAGAACCATGTGTAGCAGTTTTCTCACTGCTGTGACAGTGGGTGGCAAGAAGCAACTTAAAAGAGATGCAGTCCATCGTGGCAGGGCTTGCAGCAGCCGGGCACACTGCAGTCAGGAAACTGCAGTGGGTGCAGGTGCTCCGTTCCCAGCCTCCTTCTCCTTCAGTCCAGGCCTCCAGCCCAGCTAGTACCTCCTACAGCTAAGGTGGGTCTTCCACCTCAGTTAGTAACCTGTCACAGACATGCCCAGAGGCTCGACTCATCCAGATAATCCCTCAGAGGCATGTCTAGAGGTTCAGGTAATCCGAGGTGCTGTCAGGTTGAGAGTATTGACCATCACACTGAAGGAGCTGTCTGCATTCCGCCCCAGGACCCCTACACACCAACACTACAGCAAAGAATCAGCTTTGGACAGATGTCACATGAGTATGGAAAGGAGTGTCTCTCATAACACCCCTGTTAGGTATACACATGAATGAGCAGCCTCCTGGTACTTCTGGTGGGGCCTCCTTGGCCTCGGCAGGGAGAGCCGCACACACTTTGCTGAGGCTGCAGAGCAGCTGCAGATGAGCTGTCTGACTTTGATCCTGAAATCCTCTTTCCACACTAACTGGTCCCTGTCTCCCACAGGCATCGTGTCCAAGTCCTATGAGTGCCGCCTGAAAGGACAAGGAGCCACCTTTGTGGAGACAGACAGCCCCTTCACTGCAGCCACCCTGGCCGAGGAATCACCTGTCAAGGAGAAGTCCCTGAGAAGCAGCAAGAGGCAGGCTTCACCCCCTGAGCAGGTCCAGCAGGTCATCATCATCCAGGGCTATGATGGGGAGTTTGCCCTGGATGCCTCTGTGGAGGAGACTGCTGCGGCCACACTGCAGACCCTGGCAATGGCTGGCCAGGTGGCCAGGGTGGTTCACATTACAGAACACGGGCAGGTCATTACCACAAGTCAGAGTGGGTCGGATGTGGGCAGCGTGGTACCTGGACCCATCCTTCCGGAGCAGCTGGCGGATGGGGCCACCCAGGTGGTTGTCATGGGGGGCTCTATGGAAAGTCACAGTGTGGATGAGGCCCTTAGTCCAGGCAGTGCTGTGATACAGCAGGTTACCAAGCAGGAGCTCTTAAGTCTCTCTGAGGCTGGAGTGCCTCCATCTGACACCTCCTCAGCCTTAGATGCACTACTCTGTGCTGTCACTGAGTTGGGAGAGGTGGAAAATAGGGCAGGGCATGAGGAAAAGGGCAGGCCCAGCCACAAGGATGTGCTGATCCAGCTGCCCAGCCAGGAAGCAGCCCATGCTCATCCCAACACAGAAGCCTCAGAGACTCAGTTGTTCCAAGATGGTCAGGAGAGTCCAGCAGCCATGGAAGTACTGACACAGGTTGTCCGGCCCTCAGCCATCATCACGTCTCAGGAACGAGCCCAGGTGGCCTTCAAGAAGATGGTTCAGGGGGTCCTCCAGTTTGCTGTCTGCGACACAGCTGCAGCCAGTCAGCTGATGAAAGATGGCGTCACCCAGGTCATTGTGAATGAGGAGGGTGCTGTCCACATGGTAGCCGGAGAAGGCTCCCAGTTCATCATGCAGGAAGCTGAGACCCATGGCCTGCGGGTACCAGCTGAGCACGTGGACCTGGTAGAGTCAGAAGGGGAGATCTCACAGATCATTGTCACAGAAGAGCTGGTCCAAGCCATGGTCCGTGAATCCAGCAGCAACTTCCCTGAGGGTGCTACCCACTACATTGTAACAGAGTTGCCTCCCGGTGTACAGGAGGACTCGGGTGTTTACTCCCACACTGTGATAGAGACAGCCAGCTCTCCAGAGATCCTGCAGGCTGGGGCTGTACTCGGCAGTGCTGAGGCTGTGGGCACAAGCAGCACTGAACAGTTGACCAGTATGGTCATCTATACCCAGGATGGCTCCCCAGCAGCCACAGTGATCCAGAGCCAAAGAGAAAACAGTGAGCTCCAGGAAGCATGAGGCAGGCCTCCATGCTGGGCACAGTGCAGTGTGCAAAGATCTACCCGGGCCAGTACAGAGGCTGCTGAGCTTTGCTGGTCACGCTTACTTCAGAGGTGTGCTGAACAGGCCCTTCAAGCAGGGGTAACATTGGCCACTGAAAAGGCACCAGAGGAGAGCACAGAGCCACGCCTACACCTAGGTTGCCCAGCAGCCTAAGAAGAGTGGATGGGCAGGATGAACCCTGTGCCATAGAGCTGGTCACTGGGCCCTCTGTTCATGGCCTTGCCCCTCAAACACCACTGTGGTGAGAAGCAGTTTTCCCTGGTTTTTCTCCCATACAAGTTCCCTGTTTAGATATCAAAAGAAAAAGATGGTGTCCCTGATGGGAACTAGGAAACGTCTCTAGCCTCAGACCATCTGTACGGGCTGCTGCTCATGCAGCTCCTCTCCTTCCATCGTCGATTAAAAATCGGAGCTACAAGACTACGTCTTAAAGCAGTGAACACCTTGTTGTTTACTGTTACTAAGCTGGAGAGAATGGTGTTCCCAGACCAAAGGAAGCCTGTTAGTTCATTTTATGTATAAATTTCCCTTCTGAAAGTATTTTAGGTATTTCCTTTGCCATGGCCATTCTGCACAAGAGAAATCTTTCATCTGTGGTTTGAGAAAAGTCTTGAAATTTTTACTGAGTTAAAATCCACCTTGGTTAAGACAATTGATTCTCATCCTGAGTTCATGTCGTACCATAACGTCTGTACATGAAATGTCTACTGTGGAAAATATCACTCATTGCTTTTTCTAACAGGTATCTGTTTGTATGGGTATCTCTTCTCCAGGATTTATCTGTGACTGTCTGGGAGTGGGAAGGCTGACGTTGAACAGTACAGTAGAAGCCCACCCCTGGCCTGCCTCCCAGCACTGCCTCCTCCATGGTGGGGTCACTGCAAGTGCCGGCTGCAGCCTTATGTTCTGCTCAGTTTTCTTGATTCCACTGCTTTTTTTTTTTCTTCAAAATTGTAAAATAACCCCTTTCCTCAGAGGCAAAATTGTTTTTGTTGTTTTCTTTGAAATAAAATTATAGCATTAAACTAAGGGTGATGGCGTACTCTGAGTGGTCAGCCAGCCAAGGCTGTGCCTACAGTGGTCCTGCTGGCCAGCCTGCCCAGGAGGGTCCTCCCTCTCTGTCTTCACTTCATGTGTAGCCGACAGCTCCTGCAGCCCAGTGCCATCACATAAATGACAAATAGCCCAGGCACAGTCTATCCTGGTTAGGGACAGGAAGACAGTCTCTCTGTCAGTACAAGAGCCATTTCAGTCCCTTCCTAAGGCCACAAGAGAGAGCACCACAGGGCCTGGCCTCTGGCCTCCTGATTGCTTTGCCTTGAGTTGTGTCCATTCCAGGGCCAACTCCCTACACCCAGCCACCCTCCAAGCAAAATAATAAAAGGTAAAACTTGAGCTTTGGCACTGACTTATAATTAGCTAAGTGTGACTACTCCTGCTTCCTAAAAATGGCAGGGCTTCTCAACTCCTCTTAAACAATGTCTTTGCCAAACCGTGACAGGATCAACTCCCGTTTGTTATCAGGATAGAGGTGACCTTTACAAAGTGATGGCCCTCTCCAGGCTCCTCATACATGTTAAAAAAAAAGGGGGGTGGGGTGTTTTTCAGTGCAGATATTTCTTCTTGATCACCTCTCCCGTTGGCGCGGCCCTGCGGTCCTGAGGCTCAATGCTAATTCTTGCCTCTGCAGAGCCCTGTATGGCTAACCTTTCCGCTGCAGTCCAGGGCGTTGACACTGACATGCTGTAGTTTACCGTGTGTGATTTATTTAGGATAAATATGTCTCAGGTGGCATTTAATCCTTCATAAAACCAGTGTAGCCTGCAGTGTCAAACCAGCAATCACGTTGTGTGCGCGATGAAAAGAGCAGGTCTTTGCATAAAAAAAAAAAATGTACAGAGGGTGTTCTTAGACTCAGAAAGATTGCAAGGCTTCTCCAAGCTGTTGTATCCTGTAATTACCTATAGAGCTAGGTTAATGGTACCTCTCTTTTCTCTCTCATTACACAACTATTGGAATGTAAGGAAGTTTAAGAAGCACGTACACAAATGTGTGCCTCAGAATAATGAGGCATGGCAGGGTTTGTGAGCAAAGGACATTCATTGTAGCATGGATTGTCTATAAGGACGACGCAGCGAGCTCACAGCTTTCCTTAAGGTTTTTTCGAGAAAAATGTGACAGTTTTAAGGAAGTAAAAAGCCCAACCAATGACATTTTTATGTAGAGATTGTAACCCCAGAAGACCGTGTTTATATTGAGCTACAGCCGATTGAATGATCCAGCCTCAAGGATATCTGCACGCAAGGAAGACTGAGCCTAAGTCAGCATATAGATACAGTTTAGACTTCAACTTCCATGCCGAAAGTTGTTAGTGTGGTGGAATGGAGGATCACAAAGTAAGACAGCCATTTCTGGACATGGGACTTCCTGTCACACAAGGTCATTTAGTGTGATGCTGCCACTCGACTCACATGGCCATCTTTGTGAGAGGCCTCATCCCTCCCTGGGAGATGAGTAGTCACTGCTAAACATCCTTGCAAGAAAGGAAATCAGACAGTCTGATGCAGAGACTGAGGCTTTCACGTATTGGTTTCCTGAGAAGGACAAGTACATGTACTAAGACTGGGTCCAATAGCTGTGGGAATCTCTGTCACTTACCAGCTGAAAGTGTATGAAAAGCCAGCACCAGATAGCAGTCACAGATTATCCAAGATACTTCCAGTAAGAGAAAAGGGATCTCAAGATCGAACTGAGCTCAGTTCTGAAGCTTAGTGAGAGCTGGGGCGGGCATGAGGATGGAAAATTTCTAAAAGGAAGTCTGACATCAGGGGGCTTGGGCTAAGCTGACCAAACAGCATTGCCACTTGGGGCATGAGATGGGTGGAGGATGAAGACCCTATTGGATTTCCAGGTCCACTAGATACTATTAGTGGGGATCCTGGCCTCCCCAGCTCAGCAGATACCGTTAGTGGGATCCTGGCCAATTAGCAGCTTTCTTGCTAAGGGGTATTTTTAAAAGGAAGCCCTCAAATGATCATAGATGCATCAGACAAAAGTTTCCTCATCAAAGAAACTGTCAAAGTCCTAGAAGATGGAGGGTGAGGCCTTAGTCCATGTTAGCCTTCTCCACCTAGAACACAGCCAAGACTCCCCAGGCCCAGTAGCCCCGCCCAGCACTCCTCTGTGAGGAGCCTGACCCCACTTCCCATCAGTACCCATCTAGGAGAATCCCAGCCACACAAAGCTGCTCTGTCTTTCAACTCTGTCCCACTTGTTTCCTGGAGGGGAAGAAGGAAGGAGGGGAGGGAAGAAGAAAGGAAGGAGGCCTAAGCAGAGGATTGAGGAGCCATCTTAAAATCTTAACCTGGAGTGGGTCCGAGGTTCAGCAAAGGCCATTCAGTTAGCACCAGAGAACAGTGCCTGTCACTTCGCTCACTGGCCATCAGCCCTTAATGTAAGGGGGTTCAAGCTAACTTGAACAGCCTCCTCCTGTTCCATCACGTTGGAGAATACAATTCGTTTTCTACTCCTCTAGGGTGATATCATTTTACATGGAGAAAAAGTTAACTGGGGTGGCAGTTATATGTTTCGGAAGCACCTTCTAATCAGGGATGGGTGATTCATGATTAGCTTCAGCAGGCGATCCATCTGACATGGAAGGGGAAAAATTAGCAGCTGTCACTGCTTGATGAGTTAATTTCCTGATGGGCCTGACACTGAAAAGCCATTTGGAGTCATGGCTGTGGCTGATGAGAAAACCTGGCAGTGCTTTTATAACTGGAGATAAAGACAGGGCAGAGGAGCTGCCGGAGAAGGCCTGTCAATCTACTGGGGAGTGTTGGTGTCTGTGCTGGGGCTCAGGCCGAGGCCACACTGCCCTCTTTATTGGCCATACCTCTGATGGGGAGACCAAGCACCTAGTGGCTGTGGAAACTCCAGGAGACCAAAGGACAGCTCCAGGAATACATGGGGTATTGACCTTCAACTCTGTCCTACCCTACCTCTGTTCAGGAAGGCCACTTCCAACCCAACAGGAAGGAGCAGGCTTGGTCTTAATGTCTTTTAAGTAGGAATTAAAGAAATAAGTGTATAATAAGCTCTACCTTTGTTACCAAGCTTGGCTTCTGGGCTTCCCTAGGAAAGGGTAGTTGGCGAAAGTTTGGTGTATGGAATTCAGGGATCAGGACCAGAGCCTATTGTTTACCAACTAGAAAACACAGGGACCATTGTAATCTTCAGGGACAGGCTAGGAAACTCCTGTTTCTCTTGGATCCTTGGTTTGTAAAATCAATGAAGAAGGAGGTCCTAGAGATCTCCTACTTGAGAAGGAAGCTTGGGGCAATGACCTGCTTCTTTCCAGAGCCAAGCTGTTGCCCAGGCCTGGTTTCTGGTTGCTTTTCATGCATTTGGGACCAAGCTCTGCAAGCTGAGAAACTTGCCCAGAACTGGCTATGGAGAGCCACAGTCTGAAGCACTAGAATGTGGTCACAAAACCCATTCCCAGAGTTGAATAAATCAATTCTCCATATCTCCAGCAAAGAACCATTCTTTCCTCCATAGTCTGCATTTGCAATACCTTTCAATAAACTCTTTAAATGACCTAACTTCAACATGGCTTTCACCATCATCAAAAGACAATAAACTACCAGAATAAACACGAACATCCAAGCCCTCGAGGGTCAGAACCATATTCTCAGTCGTCTTCTACATCTCACATTGCTCTTCAAATAACCTGTTAAGGGGGAGAATTAAAACAAACACAAAGGAAAGTATTTACTTTTCATTTCCAAACTGATTCCAGGTTAGTGAAAACCTGTTGGATTCTCTGGGTGACCCATGTCTAGCTAGTGTCCAGCCGTGCATGCTGCTGTGAGCAGTGAGGACATCTTGGTGCCTGGTTACCTTGTTCTCCACAGCCTCAGCAGTGTCCACAGCAACTGGCCACAGTTGGGGGCCGGGGAGATGCAGCTCCTGGCTTGTTCCGTGTGGCTTCTGAAGATGGAAAATGTTTTCATGTCAGTTGCAACATGAGACCCATTGGAACACACAGTTTTCCGAACCCACAGCTAGGAGCTGAGTATCTTTTGGTGACAGTGGAGGATTCACACTCTTGGGCAGGCTACAGTTTCTCAGCCATGAAAATGGCCAGGGCATGGGATCTACCCACACAACAGCATGGTTACCAAAAAGTACCCTCACTGGGGTTGCTCCTGCAGGATGCTACTATCTCAAATGCAAGGTCCTACTTCACAGGGCCCAAGGTGCTCTTCCCAAACTGTTGCTGAGGATGACCGCTAAGTCAGAGCCTCTGCACTTGGGCGCTTGTGTGACCCTTAGTGCCCCACCAGAGTGCACACTGGGCATTCTCAAGGGACCATCTAGAGGGAATAAAGAAGTCAGGACATGAATTCCCCCATTTGCCCTCCATTCTGGTTTTGTTAGTCGCCTTCCTCTGTCCCTGCAGTCTCAATTTCGTCAACACGGCTCTTCAGAAGGAAGGAAATGAAATGCATCCTGAACCTACAGTCTCTTGGTCAAACCAGTTAGATCACATTCTCATCATATTCCAGAACGGTTCTTGATGAAGAGCCCTGAGACTAACCCTCATGACAAAGGTCACATCAGGGTCACAGGCTTGTTACACATAGTGAGGTGACTCTTCTGGCTTTTATAGGCACAACCTTCACTCATAATCATAAAGAAATCATCCAAGTTTCTCCCCATGGCACCAGGCTGTTCTTGGTAAAAATTGTGTTTGCTATGTACTGATTTTTTTCTACCCTAAGGTGTTGGGCCAAAGCTATTCACTCCACTCACTATGCATTCTTGACATGTTATGAAAAGAAACGGTGTTTGAGGTCATCTGGAATGATTGTGACATTTTCTTTTCTGGAGGAAGATCTTTGACACTTGGCAAGAAGTCGGGAGCCAAGGCAAGCAAACAAGGGCATGCCAGGTGGCCCTGGACCGCAAGCCTTGCCTTCAGCACACAGCATCTCAGTACTGACCCAAGAGAAAACTGGACTAGGGAAGAGCTCCAAGGGGAGGGAGGAGAACCCTGTCAACTCTGAAACATCCTCCAACATCCCAGTATACTTGAAAACGGGACCCATGTGTAGTGTCTGGACCCATCCATCTTACAAACAATTCTTGAGAGGAAGAACAGCAGAGCATGCTCCAAAATAAATCTGCCACAAACTGTCACCCTCTCCCAGAAGTCAGGGAGGCTGCACCCTGAGCAGAGCCTCCAGTCCCTTCTTAAGAGCAAACAGGAAGACCGTGGAGCTGATGGCCATTCGGTACCGCACACGAAGTGGGGCAGGATGAGAGGCTTGTAATTACAAGGGACTCAAGTGGCCCCAGAAGGATGGTGCTGAATGGCAGCTTGAGTTTGGAAAGAAATCACTGTATACCTCCAGGTCTGGAAGACTTAACCTGCCTGGTGACCCACACAGCTGTTAGCGTTTTGAAGGAGATACACTTGCTGGGCATTGGTCTGGAACTATTCCAGAAGACTTCTGCAGACCTAGATGGCATAGATGGCAGTTGTGCTGGTGTGATCCTGAGTTGAGGACCAAAACTCAGTCTGGGCCTTGGAGCTGATAGAACTAAGATTAGAACTAAGATCACGTCAGATGAGCCCATGAGTGAGATGCCATGAGGCCATACTGTGTCCCAGCAGTATTCATCAGTCTTTGGAGAATGGAGTTTAGAAATAGATAAATTCTCTGTCAGTGTACCCTGAGACTAGACAGCTATTCATGAAATGTTCAAAGGATTACCAGAAACATAGTGCAGTCTGTGCATGGCTCCAGTGGCAAAGTGTCCCCAAGGAAGTTGGAATTAAAATCAGAGGATCTTGCATGGCTTCGCTGAGTAAAGCTGGCAATGGCCTGCTCAGAGCTGCAAGGGCCCAGCAGGGTTGCTAACTATGTCAGGTCAGTCTGACAATGACCTGGGTCCCATGAGCCACCCAGATGATCACTGCAGGCCCTGTCAGTGGTGGCATATGTCTTCCCATGGCCAGTGAGGAGCTGCCAAGCTCAGGCTGCATGATACGGCACGTAGACTAGGAGGCTCAGCTGCACGAGATGGCCAGACCTAGGACACGTAGCACTGTTGCTGCCTCTGGGCTCTGGCTTCCTTCCTCTGAATCCCAGAGCCTCTTCATTATTTTACTTTGCTTTCTGGTTTCTATCTCAGTGCTCTTTGATTTCACATTTCTGGGCTCTCCTTTGGGGGCTTCAGAAGTGGGCTAGGGCACTACAGTCTGCCTGAAGGCTGGACACTCTGGGTTCTGACTCTCCTGACTGTGTAGATGAAGGTGGAGGCCGAGGTCCTCAGGCCCCAGCAGTCTCGTGCGAGGCAGGTGTCTGCTCTTCACAATGACCTCAGCTAAAATCCCTCTTCTTACTGGCTTTGAAACAGTTTTCTATGGAGCTATCTGTCCTCTGCAACTCCCTCTCCTTGAAACTGTACTACCATTGTATTGTGGGAACTGTAAGCCCAGAGAGGTGGAACTGCACTTGGACATCTTTCCAAGAATATGACTTGTTTGCAGGCTACATAGACAAGCTATGCAGTACTACAGAGTACGCTGGACTGTCAAGGTCCAGGGGCTCCTTCGAAGTGATGTATCTGGGTAAATGATGTGGGTAACTCAAGGTAAGCTGAGGCCAAGGCCAAGGCAACTGGTCTGGTGCGTGTGCATGTGCGTGTGTGTGTGTGTGTGTGTGTGTGTGTGTGTGTCCCCTTTCGTTGCCACAGTGAATGCTATATCCTGCTAAACTATCAGTCTAGTGCAGTCATGGAATAAAGACTGTCAGCTATGTAACCTCTCTGAAGATTCCCCTCTCTTGTTCCTTTTTCATGAGGATACTGCAAACTGTATTCTGGAAGAAGCTTTATTAGTTCCAGGATTCAGAAACAAAAGAGAGACGTAAGGTAAATAGAGGAAATGCACAGGGTGCGGTTATCAGAGCACATAAAGGGGGAGCTGTAACAAAAGAAATGTCAGGCTGAAGAGAGGGCTCAGCAGCTAACAGCACTGGCTTCTTTCCAATGGACCCGGGTTCAATTACCAACACCCACATGGCTGTTCACAACTATCTGTAATTCCAGTACAGAGGATGTGACACTCTCACTTGGCCTCTGTGGCGACCAGGCATGCACTTGGTAGACAGACATATGTGTAGGCAAACCACCCATATGCATAATTTTCAAGAAAAGAAATGATATAATATTGACATGTATAGAAAATAGGTTGTGAAGGTCTGGATAGTATAGAACACATGAGTGGGGCAAACAACAGTCTAATCTGGGATATGAACAGTGAGACAGTTATTAATGTTGGAAGAAACTAAACATGCATACAAAGTATCAACTGTTAGTATCATATAATACATGGTTTTTCCATGAATGATATACAGACTCCTGCATCTTGGGAAGTGAACCGACAGTGTCTAAGATAGACATATCCACTTTAGTGTCAAGCAAATTGCCATTCCCATTTCCTATCTAGATGGAAAAAAAAAAAACATCTCACTGTCTGGTCATTCCCTACCCACGCTAGCCATAGGGGGAGAGGAAATATCAACAATGTGTTGGAAGGCTGCTTGGGGATGGGTGAAGGCAAAGCAGAGCGGAGAGCTCCCTGGAGAAGGGGACAGTAAGGGAGAACTGGCTGCAGCCCCTCTCCACTAAGGCCCGCCTCACCTGATGTTTGAATAGGGCTGGTTTTCTGAACATTAGGAAAATGTAAATGTACTAATGTAGTAGGAAGTAAATAGTCCTCTGTTGTAAAAACAAGTGACTCTTTCCTCTCGAACTGGATTGATGCCCATTGCCTCGCCATGCTTGGCTGACGGGCTGGCTCTAAGCCGTGCTCCTCTTCCCCTTTGCCTCAAAGCCTGATAGCATCAGGAAATTGCCAAATCACTGGCCACAGTGCAAGATGTCCAAACAAAGAGATATTTCAGTCCACAGTCCATGGAATAAAAGCATGTCATTTCACTAGTTTCTGATAGACTTGCTGAAAATGTGTGCATGCATTCACACATGCACATGCACGCACACGCACACACACACACACACACACACACACACACACACACACACACACACACAATTTTGCTATTGGAAAGTAATTGAGTCTGTAACTTCAAATGAACTGATGGTAATTCCTACCAATTAGCTCTGTAATAATCACCTTGACCATGTTTAGTTATCTGAGCAAGAGGCAAAATTTCATACTATTACATACCAAATAACTTTCATGAGATACAAGTAGTCAGGAACACTCAGATGTTTCCGACTCTGCATCTCAGATGGATTTGCTGATATACTCTACCATCTTGAGTCTATTAGCATGACTCACACTGAAGGTTTAGAAAGAGAAGAATGAAAGCCTGTTTGTCTGCAGTGCAACCAAGGAAGGGGTGATTTCCAGGAGCACAAAACTGCACGGGTGGAGAGGCTCCCCATCGCAGGAGGGCAGTCGCTGCACTCCCAGAGCAGAAGGGGACTTCTGCATAACAGGTGTTCAGCCTTACCGGGTTTCCTGAACGCTGATGCCTTTGACGTTGTTGTCTTAGTTTGGGC